TAATATTTTCCTCTACGTGTGGCAATAGTACGGTTCATTACAGATTTCATGGGCAGATGCAAACTGCTACATTGCGTTAGACCAATGGGGCTAAGGGCATGTCCTTGGTGCAAATTACAAGGATTCAAATGCAGGTGCCTTGGGAAAACAGTCTTATCTGGAAATCGGAGATTTTTGGGGACAGCACATCCTTTGCGATCTCAAGAGGAGCTGTTCCCAACCACTGAGTGCAATCCAAGATGTGGGATGATTGCAATGCTGTCAGAATCCAGAGAGCATCCTGGAAACACTACCTATGAAGAGAGGGTATTCCAAAGGGCTAAATATCAAAATGCACCCACGAAACTTGAAAGGGCACAGTTAGCCAAAGAAGAAGGAGTATTTGGTCCATATCCAATGCAGTCTCTGCCATATCACAATGAGGTCAGACAATCGCACCCAGATGGTATGCATGTCATCAAACAGTCATTCTCCCATCTCAAGGACTTCCTGTGTGATTCAAAGAAGGTTATTAGTTCTTGGCAGATGGCAGACCATGTCCACCGGGTAATTCCACCTCAAAGGTTTGCTCTTACAGAAAGGGAGCTTAAGGAGGCAAATCTAAGAGCAACTGGTGTCATTGCTCCAGTGGGGTCGAGTTTCAATGCTGGACCAGTCTTCTCCCAGAATCTGCCCAACACATCGGCTATCCATGAGGTATGTAACTTACGCAACATAATTCTTACATTTTATAACCTCCTTTTTTCTGTTTCTTGCGGTTTGATATGTCTCTGCCAACACTGAATTTAAAACTACTGTATGTAGAATATTGATGCTACCAAGGCAAAAACATGTTGTAAATTGTAGTAACATTTTATGGAGTGTTTTCTTTTTCTTGCTCTTCAGTTTCAGATTTCTGGGGTTTTCCAATGGTGCCCGAAAGGAATGCTTGAGCAACAACAGCGGCGTAGCCTTTTCATGTGGCTGAAAGCGATTCAGTGTTGCTATGCTGAATCATTTACTGAAGTGGACCTCGAGAATCTTGATGAAATTGTACCTTTAGCTTGTGCCCTCATGGAGAGGGATTGGCCTCTTTCATTTCAGGTGAATACAATGCTTTGAACAATATGATATAATATTAATATTGTTAGTTGTACTAAGGTCCTATTTGTCATTGTCATATTACTCTATTTTGCCATTTAATTTTTGTGTTTTGTGTCTTTTGTGTTTTAAGAATAGAACATCACGACCCACCTCCTACTACACCTGCCCCAATCAGTAAGAGAGAATGGACCTCTTGTGTCTACATGGATGTTTCCATTTGAGAGAGCTAACAGCTGGGTTGTGAGGCGTGCACTCAATAAGTGTGACATGGCGAGTACAATAATGCGGACTTACCAGGTAAATTATATGTATTTGTATTTGCAAGAAGGTCATATGTAAGGTTAAGGTTATAATTCTAGTATATGAAAAACATGCTTTATTAATGCATTTGCTCATTTAGCAGAAACAATTTTATTCCTAATTGATTTAAAGTACAGATATACTCATAATAGTGAGTGTTGCCTTAGTAGTAAACCCTCTTAGTGTTTTTTCAGCACCATAGTGTACCAGACAAATCACTGTACAACTTTACAAGCCATGAAATTGTAGCTTGGTGTAACTGGGAAAAATGTGAATATGCACAAACGTAGGAAAAATCTATTTTCATTTTTAGGTCCTGGACTTTACATTGTTTGCCTACAGTTCAGAAACAGTCCATAATGAGGATCATCATGGACTATCCCTGAATACCCAGACCTGGACAAAACAACATCCAAGTCCAAATCAGTTAATGCTCTTGACCAAATTTCTGCCAGACAGCAATGAGAAGATGGAAATCATGGTGTGCCACAAGACCTTCCGAGTGCAGAAGAAGGGCCGCAATCAGCCTCTACTGTTCTCTGCAGCACGGCACAAGGCCAAATATAATAAGAAATCTTGCTATGTGCAGGTTTCAGAGGCAACATTTGGTGAAATTCAGTATTTTGTAGCACACACAAATAACACATTTGCTGTGGTAGACATTTTCCCAACTCCAGAAATTGATGAAGAAGTACACATGTACTTCTGCAAAAGGGAAAAGGTGGGACAGGATTTTATCCAAATGTCATCATTGTCAGCACCTTTGTTCGTAGCATTTGAGGATGACAAAATTTATTTCCTGAATGTGCCTGTCCCTGGGAAGCCACAGTGGCTGGAGTCACATGTCTGTAAATAGGTTAACTGTCTAATGTTTCGAAAATATAAGTACAGTATGCAGTCAAATATGTGCTCATTTTCAATTTTGTCATGTTTGAATTTGTTACTGCTTTGTATATATTACTGTCATGACCTGCTCGTACGATCCTCGTGTGTGCCACGCCCCCTCATTAACCACTTGTACTGCCCCGATTGTGATCACCTGTTTCCTGTTATTTCGGCTTATCTTGTGTATTTCAGTCTGCGTTCAAGTCTGTTTCCCCAGGTCTGTCATTGACGTTTGTCTTGTGCTGCTCCACGTTCTATAAATAAAAGCTCGTTTTTGGATTCACGTCTCCCGAGTCTCCTTCCCCGCTACCCGTTCGTGCACCGGACCTGACAATTACACTGTTCATAGTACACTGTATACTTAAGAATTGTTGATGGAAAATTACAGTTATCAGCACCTAATTATGATTGGTTGTAGTCAAATAGCATCTGTTCTTAACCATTTAATCAATTTGTCATCTGTCTAAAGCTGGAAGTCAGTGTTATTTTGCAAAATCAAATGTGCAATAAAAATTTCAGAAAAAATCTAAGAAAATGGTGATGACCTTCAAAGGACACTCATGTTTTATGAATGAACATTTACTACATAATATGAAATGCATGCAGACATATAAAATTTACATGAAAAATCAGACATTTAAAAGATGAAAATTATAGTTTCATTGCTGAATGAAAATGAAAATAAAAAATAGACTGGATCATGCAATCAACTATTCATTGCATTTGGAGAATTTTGCACTCTGACAATTTTGTGTCAGATGTTGTATTTATAATACTTCAATATTTACTTTCTATTTATTTACACACAGAATGCTGCAAAAGTCGTACATATGCGGAGCACTTGGTAGATGGAAAAATGGCACTAAAAATGGTTTCTAAGTGAAGTAGTGTAAATATAACCTTCCCAATTTACTAACTTTTATACCCAGTGACTAGTAAGACATTATTTTTAAAGAAATAACTCTAATACAATATTTCAGTAATTTTACAATAATCTCCATTTGGCACTGTATCAAAGTTCATAATTATGCATATCAGTTTAGATTATAAACCATATAAATAACCTTTATTATGACACTTAATGTCAGCACAAAAATATGAAATATGAAACTTGGAGTATTACACCTGAATCTTTACAAGCATAGTTTCACACTTTAAGAATTAACTCTACTTAATAGTGTCCTTAATTACCCCTTAGTAATACAACACCCTGAATTAACACCTTAAATTTAAGATTAAGGGATTTCACAGTCATGTCTTAAATCTAATTTTAAGGTAAAATTAAGGGGTCTGTTTCACAAATTAACGCCCACTTAATTCAAATTAAGGGGTTTGGTGTGTTTTCAGGGGTAAATTAAGGTAGAGTTAAGCACATTTTAAGTACATTGTGTTTCGTAGTGTATCCACCTGCGTCCTACGTGGGCTTCGGCATAAACCCAGACACGCCCCCATCATCTGGATCGGTAAGATCGGTAATTATTATATACCAAAAAGAGAAAAAAAACACATTGCCACGCCATTTAACCACCATCGCTTAATACCTTACACTGCAGCCCGACACAAGACAACCACCCGCTCACCACGATCCCAGTCGCTCGCATAAATGTCACGGAAACACCAGACCATTACCCTCTAACCAGCCGCTCGTGCACTGCAACTCAACACCGGACCCGTGGGTGACGTAACCACCGTCAATCACCGGTTACATTAGTAACTAGAAATTAAGGTGCTAATGTTAGCCGTCGTCGGCGAAAGTTTTAAAACGACAACCTAAACTGACAGACATTCGGTAATTTGTAGGCTATTATTAATGAAGGCTACATTAATTTACTTTCTGTGGATAATGAAAATCAGGCACTTACCGCTGTTCATCAGCTCACTCTCCGCTATTGAAGGGGGTGGAGTCACACCTTGTTATTTCCTGTACTGACATTGGACATGTCCTGGGAGTGGAGACTGCAGCGGAAGTGACTCCACAGTGAAGGTCTGCAGCCAGGTGCTCTTGGGGCAAGGAGTGATCAGCTGGCAAAAGTGCTGAATTGTCTGTAGCCTGGTAAGGAATCTAAATTGTGAGATATAGAAAAATAACAGCCCTATTGCCTTTCATTTGAACATTTTAAAACACCTTAAAACAGTCTGAATATCATTAAGGATAAAGAATGCACTGGTGAGCTCAGTTATCGCAAAGGGACTGGTAGGCCAAGGAAGACCTCCACTTGTGATGACAAAAGAATCCTCACTATGGTAAAGGGAAATCCCCAAACAACTGTCCAACAGATCAGAAACAGTCTTCAGGAGGTGGGTGTGCCTTTGTCAGAGACTAATATCTGCAGAAGACTTGAACAATGTCACATGAACAAAAACACAGAGGCTACACTGCAAGATGCAAATCACTAGTTAACCACAAAAACACAATGGCCAGATTACAGTTTGAGAGAAAGTACTTAAAAGAGCCTGCAGGATTCTGGAAAAAGAACTTATGAACAGATGAGACTACGATCAACCTGTGCCAAAGTTATGGCACAAGGAAAGTGTGGAGACAGAAAGTTCCCAAGACCCAAAGCATACCACTTCATCTGTAAAACATGGTGGTGGGGGTGTTGTGGTTTGTGCATATATGGCTGCCACAGGTACTGGCACACTTATCTTCCTTGATGATGTAAATGCTGATGGTAGTCGCACAATGAATTCTGAGGTATATAGAAACATTTTATCTGCTCAAGTTCAAGTAAAAGCATAGGAAATACTACAGGAACAAAGGTTTCACTTTAAACAAACTGAAAATTTTGTTTAAATATGATCTTTCTGTGAATGTCTTTTTAAAAGTTGTCTTTTCTGCCACTGCTTCATAACCTATACAACTACAGGCACAATAAAAAGTTGTGACTAAAGGTGATATACTGGAACCCTAGTGATACCAAGCAGAGCTTTTCAGGACAATACTGTTCTTTCTGACCTCATTGCTAACAGAGTTTATGTCAGCTTGTGTAAAATGGATCTTATAGCAATAAACAGCTGTTATTATCTTTTTTGCTAACCTTATCTAATCATGTTCATATAAATTTCAATGAGCATTCTTTACACTGGGTTGGCCTTTTCAACTTTTTTTTTAATCTTGGCCTCTATATATACTGTGGTATCTCTACAGATGAAAGGTCTCTGAAACCTTAAGCCTATAAGGTAAGACAAACTTTCAGATACTCATTAACTGAGTAACATTAATTTTTGTATGTCAAAGTATGGATTTTAATAAATTAATATGTATCGATTTTTTTCTATGTGGTTGTATAATTACATAACTGTGTACTCACTGTTATTTTCATACAGTAGTAAAAAGAAAAATATCAAAGAGAAAAGAGAAAGATCATCAACAACAAAATGATGAAGATCACCACTTTAACAGGTAATTTGTACAGTACAATGCCAAAGTATTCTAGAACTAATACTTTTCCTTGCTGATGCAAAAAGAGTTGCTCAGCATTAACAAGCTTTTCTTTCCAATTTAGGCTTGTGTCTTTTGCTCTCTCAATTGGGTGAGTGACTGAGGATTAAAATGAAATATATAAAAATAATAATTTCATTCATAAGACACTGCCTATAGAACTCAAAGGAAACTACTATGTGCATTTTCTAAATCTTATTCTAAAGTGTCTTAAAAAAAATATATTTTGAATTTGAATTCTCTATTAATAAGCAGTATTTTTTTTATACCTATCTCTTTATAATTCTTTGGGGTTGAGTATTGTATGGACTTCCTAGCATTAATTCACATGTGAATAAAATACACATATATTTTAAAAGCTTAGTATTTCTTATTTCATTTTTTATTCTTATTCAAATTATTATAATTTCAGGGTATGCCAGAGATATGGTGTGTTACTTCACCAATTGGTCCCAGTACAGACCTGGAACTGGGAAGTACCTTCCTGCCAATGTAGACCCTTTCCTGTGTACTCATCTGATATATGCCTTCTCTATGATTAACCATGCAAATGAGCTTGTCACATATGAATGGAATGATGAGAGTCTCTACAAGTCCTTCAACGAGCTAAAGCACAAGTATGCATACTAACTTGCATGTTGTATGTATGTGCATATATTTGTCTTTATATAATAAATCTTAATGAAAGTATGATACGTTTACTCTAAGTCAAAAGTGAACTGTAAGACTTCAAAAAGTATTGAATTCTCCACTACAGAAATCCCCATCTGAGAACTCTTTTAGCTGTTGGTGGCTGGAACTTTGGCTCCTACCAGTAAGTCACAATTTATTCTACAAGTTGTGATAGTGCTTGCAAAAATATTTATGCACTAAATTTCATACTGGAAAGCTAATAATAATATATGTGGCAAACCTTAGATCAGGAGTGCATAGACTTAAAGTTTTATTTTTGTTGAGGACTAAGTATTACAGCTCCTTCCAGGTTCTCCATCATGGTATCCACACCGGCCAACCGTCAGAAGTTTATACAGTCATCTATTAGTTTTCTACGCACTTATGGCTTTGACGGCTTGGACATTGATTGGGAGTACCCTGGTTCTCGAGGGAGCCCCACAGAGGACAAACAGAGGTTCACACTCCTATGCAAGGTCAGATATCATCTGTGGTTCTTTATTAAATATGATTATACTATGCAAAATAGAAAATACTGATTAATAATCTTTTGGTATGTAGGAGCTTCTTGAGGCTTATGAGGTTGAGAGCAAAGAAACAGGACGTCGTAGATTACTGGTCACAGCTGCAGTGGCCGCTGGAAAAGGCACAATCGATGCTGGCTATGAAATTGCTGAGATCGCTAAGTAAGTCTGGGTTTAAATAATTTTGTCTTTAGATCTTCAGATAAACAGTGATACATTGCTTAACAATGGGAATACTTCTTAGGAATGTGTTGTTAAATGATTTCATCATTGTGCAAACATCATAAAATGTATTTAAGCAAACCTAGATGGCATAGCCTACTACACACCTAGGCTACAGTAAATACTTTTTATAAGTTGAAAGAGTGCTATCTAATATAATGATAAAAGGTACAGTATAGTAAATACATAAACCAGTTGCATGGTTATCAAGTATTATGTCCTGTACATAATTATATGTGCTATACAATGTGTATATAGTACATACATAACTGTATTTACTAAATACGCCTAGCAGCACAGTAGGTTGGTTTACACCAGTATACCAGATAGAAGTAATTTGTCAAACTATAGGCCAATCAGTCTAACTT